AGGAGGGAGGGAGAGAGGGAGAGGGGAGGAGGGAGGGAGAGAGGGAGAGGGGAGGAGGAGGGAGAGGGAGAGGGGAGGAGGGAGGGAGAGAGGGAGAGGGGGAGGAGAGAGGGAGAGGGGAGGAGGGAGGAGAGAGGGAGGAGGAGAGAGGGAGAGGGGAGGAGGGAGGGAGAGGGCGAGGAGAGGAGGGAGAGAGGGGGGAGGAGAGAGGAGGAGAGAGGGAGAGGGAGGAGGGAGGGAGGAGGGGAGGGGTGGAGAGAGGGAGGAGGGAGGGAGAGGGGAGGAGAGTAGGGAGAGAGGGAGAGGGGAGGAGGGAGGGGAGAGAGAGGGAGAGGGGAAGGAGAGAGGGAGAGGGGAGGAGGGAGGGAGAGAGGAGGAGGGAGGGAGAGAGGGAGAGGGAGGAGGGAGGGAGAGAGGGAGAGGGGAGGCGTGGAGGGAGGAGAGGGAGAGGGGGAGGAGGGAGGGAGAGGGAGGGGAGGAGGGGAGGAGGAGGGAGAGGGGAGGAGGAGGGAGAGAGGGAGAGGGGAGGAGGAGGAGGAGGGCGAGGAGGGAGAGGGGAGAGGGAGGAGGGAGGGAGGAGGGGAGGGAGAGGGGAGGAGGAGGCGGGAGGGAGGGTGGGAGGAAGGCGAGTGGAGTGAGGGAGGGGAGAGGTGGGAGGGAGAGAGAGAGGGAGAGGGAGGAGGAGGGAGAGAGGAAGAGGGGAGGAGGGGAGGGATCGAGAGAGAGAGGGGAGAGAGAGGAGAGGGGAGGAGAGGGGAAGGAGGAGGGGAGAGAAGGGGAGAGAGGGAGAGGGGAGGAGGGAGGGGAGAGGAGGGAGAGGGGAGGAGGGAGGGAGAGAGGGAAGAGGGGAGGAGGAGGGAGAGAGGAGAGGGGATGAGGAGGGTAAGAGAGGGAGAGGGGAGTAGGGAGGGAGGAGAGGGAGAGGGGAGGAGGGAGGAGAGAGGGAGAGGGGAGGAGGGGGGAGAGTGAGAGGGAGAGGGGAGGAGGGAGGGAGAGAGGAGAGGGGAAGGAGGGAGGCGAGAGGGAGCGGGAAGGGAGGGCAGGGAGAGAGAGAGAGGAGAAGAGAGGAGAGGGGAAGGAGAGGGGAGGAGGGAGGGAGAGAGGGAGAGAGGGAGAGGGGAGGAGGAGGGAGAGAGGGAGGAGGGAGGAGGGGAGGGAGAGAGGGAGAGGGGAGGAGGGAGGGAGAGAGGGAGAGGGGAGAGGGGAGGGGAGGAGGGAGAGGGGAGGAGGGAGGGAGAGAGGGAGAGGGGGAGGGAGAGGGAGAGGGGAGGTGAGGGGAGGAGAGAGGAGGGAGAGGGGAGAGGGAGGGAGGGAGGGAAGAGGGGAGGAGGAGGAGGAGAGAGGAGAGGGAGGAGGAGCGGGAGAGGGGAGGAGAGGGGAGGGGGAGGAGAGAGGGAGAGAGGGAGAGGGGAGGAGGGAGGGAGAGGGGAGGAGGGAGGGAGGGGAGGCGAGGAGGGGAGAGGGAGGAGGGAGGAGAGAGGGAGAGGGGAGGCGGGAGGGAGAGAGGAGGAGGGAGGAGAGGGGAGGAGAGAGGGAGAGGGGGAGGAGGGAGGGAGGAGAGGGAGAGGGGAGGAGGGAGGGAGAGGGGAGGGAGGAGGAGGGAAGAGAGGAGAGGGGAGGAGGGAGGGAGAGAGGAGAGGGGAGGAGGGAGGGAGAGAGGGAGAGGGAGGAGGGAGGGAGAGAGAGAGAGAGGAGAGAGGGAGAGGGGAAGGAGAGGGGAGGAGGGAGGGAGAGAGGGAGAGGGGAGGAGGGAGGGAGAGAGGGAGAGGGGAGGAGGGAGGGAGAGAGGGAGAGGGAGGAGGGAGGGAGAGAGGGAGAGGGGAGGAGGGAGGGAGAGAGGGAGAGGGGAGGAGGGAGGGAGAGAGGGAGAGGGGAGGAGGGAGGGAGAGAGGGAGAGGGGAGGAGGGAGGGAGAGAGGGAGAGGGAGGAGGGAGGGAGAGAGGGAGAGGGGAGGAGGGAGGGAGAGAGGGAGAGGGGAGGAGGGAGGGAGAGAGGGAGAGGGAGGGAGAGAGGGAGAGGGGAGGAGGGAGGGAGAGAGGGAGAGGGGAGGAGGGAGGGAGAGAGGGAGAGGGAAGGAGGGAGGGAGAGAGGGAGAGGGAAGGAGGGAGGGAGAGAGGAGAGGGGAGGAGAGAGGGAGAGGGAAGGAGAGGGGAGGAGGGAGGGAGAGAGGGAGAGGGGAGGAGGGAGGGAGAGAGGGAGAGGGGAGGAGGGAGGGAGAGAGGGAGAGGGGAGGAGAGAGGGAGAGGGGAGGGGGGAGGGAGAGGGGAGGAGGGAGGGAGAGAGGGAGAGGGGAGGAGGGAGGGAGAGAGGGAGAGGGGAGGAGGGAGGGAGAGAGGGAGAGGGGAGGAGGGAGGGAGAGAGGGAGAGGGAGGAGAGAGGGAGAGGGGAGGAGGGAGGGAGAGAGGGAGGAGGGGAGGAGAGAGGGAGAGGGGAGGAGGGAGGGAGAGAGGGAGAGGGGAGGAGGGAGGGAGAGAGGGAGAGGGGAGGAGGGAGGGAGAGAGGGAGAGGGGAGGAGGGAGGGAGAGAGGAGAGGGGAGGAGGGAGGAGAGAGGGAGAGGGGAGGAGAGAGGGAGAGGGGAGGAGGAAGGGAGAGAGCGAGAGGGGAGGAGGGAGGAGAGAGGGAGAGGGGAGGAGGGAGGGAGAGGAGGAGAGGGGAGGAGGGAGGGTGGGAAGGAGAGGGGAGGAGGGAGGGAGGAAGGAGAGGGAGGAGGAGGGAGAGAGGGAGAGAGAGAGGGAGAGGGGGGGAGAGAGGGAGAGGGGAGGAGAGAGAGAAAGAGAGAGAGGGGAGGAGGGAGGAAGAGAGGGAGAGGGGAGGAGAGAGGGAGAGAGTGTGACATTCATAGGAACACCTGCCGCTGACCTGACCCTCAGTTGCAGAGAGAGGTCAGCTTGGAGGCCTGGAAGCCGCCGCAGGCGGCCACGCCCACGTGAAGGTCGGGTACAGGCAATTTCTTTAGCCACGCCGCTGTGGCTCCGCCCCTGCTTCCGGTGGCCGCCGCTACTTATTCTCCAAGGATGACCCCTGTGAGATGAGAGTGTTCTGTGCCGCGGCGAGGTCACGTCTGACCGCGCGGCCAGGTTGCCGTTTGGCAGGGCTCACCAGTGACCTAGGAGCCCCCGCCTTAACCCAAGCCTTGTCATCATTGTGTTATCAACTCCGTGTGCTAACTCTTATCAGTAAAGGGTTTTGAGCCATCCAAGCTTTTACTACTCCCTGTCACCAATGTTTAGAGGTCCTTATAATACCCTTTACAGAGAGGGAGAGGGGAGGAGGGGGGGAGAGAGGGAGAGGGGAGGTGGGGGGGAGAGAGGGAGAGGGGAAGAGGCCCCCTATGCCCCGCGGGATGCTGCTTCCATGCTAACGAGCGGGCCAGTAAACGAGCGAACTAGCGTATTAGCCAGTCTTGAAGACGTTCGGGTTAACCTGCCTCAACCTCGGCGATACTCTGAGAAAGACAGAGGGACGTAGGCTCCTGGAGGAGGTGGACGACAACACCATGGCTTTCTTACCCGCCGGCTGCTGTACCTGCAGGTTATGTACCGCATTCCGGTACTCCGTCACACTAAGTGTTTTCGCTGTACTATAGTTAATGTTGCGCGTCCCGTGTCATGTGTGTGTGTAACAGTACGTGTTCCACGTCATGTTTTTAGTGCTTAGACGTGCTACGCATTTTTAGTGTCGTGTTAAGTGTTTGTTACGTTTCGTTACGCGTTTGTGTTACGTGTTATGTGTTTTAGTGATGCGTTTGTGCTGTGGCACGTTTTAGTATTCCGTTGTTTGTGACGTGTTACGTCTAGTTTCACTGTTACGTTTTTGTTACGTGTAACGTCTAGTTTTTCCGTTACGTTCTTGTTACGTGTCACGTTTTAATGTTACGTATTTTTGTTTCGTGTCACGTCTAGCTGTTACGGTGTTACGTGTCACGTTTAATGTTGCGATGTTTGTGTCATGTTTTAGTGTCACTTTTTTGTTACGTGTTCTGTGTTACGTGTATTGAACTTTTTGTATTTGTTTGTAAAACAAATAATAGTCCGATGGTGTGATTTTACTAACAAAGCCTCCGGAGAACTCGCCAGACTCCCTTTTATTTTATTTTTTTTCGAGACCTTCAAAGTCTCGTGGTGGCAGCGGGAACCTAAGGATCAATATCCAGTAAAAAGAGATTAATTTTCAGCCTTAAGCACTGCTTCTGAGTGTTGGGAGTCACTACAAGAGGGGAGGAGGGAGGGAGAGAGGGAGAGGGGAGGAGGGAGGGAGAGAGGGAGGAGGGGGGGGAGAAAGGGAGAGGGGAGGAGAGAGGGAGAGGGGAGGAGGGAGGGAGAGAGGGAGACGGGAGGAGGGAGGGAGAGAGGGAGAGGGGAGGAGGGAGGGAGAGAGGGAGAGGGAAGAAGGGAGGTGGGGTATATATAGAAAGAGGGGGGGATGAATGGATGGAGAGAGGCAGGGCTGGAGGGAGGGAGGGAGGGAGGGAGAGAGAAAGCGAGAGAGAGAAGAGGGGGGGATGAATGGATGGAGAGAGGCAGGGCTGGAGGGAGGGAGGGAGGGAGGGAGAGAGAAAGCGAGAGAGAGAGAGAGAGGGGGGGATGGATGGAGAGAGGGAGTGCTGGAGGGAGGTAGGGAGGGAAGGAGAGAGAGAAAGAGAGAGAGAGAGGGGGGGGATGGATGGAGAGAGGGAGGGCTGGAGGGAGGGAGGGAACGAGAGAGTAAGAGAGAGAGTGAGAGAGCGAGAGAGACAGAGAGAGAGAAGCAAAGAGAGACAAACAGAAAGCGTACGATTTATAAGAGAGGCAATGCAGTTTTAATACATAACAGCACCCCACTTAATTGCCATGAAAGGAAATGGCACAAGAAAGTTTATAACACATTAAAACTTTAGAAAAAATAAACAGAAATAGATAAATAAATAAACATATAAAAAAAGAAAAAAAAAGTCATGACAGCAGACGGACAACATGACAGAAAGTCCAGTAACATGATTCTGTCACGGCTTTAACAGAGGGACGCGTAAACACCCGAGAGAGAGACCGAGGTTACTTCGCCGGGTGAGAATGCCCCGACGTTTAGTAAAGCTCGGGCATCCGTCGCGAATAGACCGTCGGATCGTTCTCCTGTCCCGAGGCCTGCTGGTAGTCCGTTGAAAGGAAACCACTGTTGGTTGGTCTAATTTTCATTTCATCATTTGGCGTTTTCGTGTTTGAGGGAGTCTAAATACCTTAGTTTTACGGAATCTCGTCCTGGTTATTCCAGATTTCCGCTCCTCTTGGCGACACCGCTTCTCATGCGATGTGCAAAAAGTTAAATCAAAATAATTCCCCGACACAGAACCCTCCTCGCCCAATCCACTCTGCGTTCGTAATTTACAGGAAAAACCCTCAAGCGCCAACAGAGACCATGAGACGAAGGGCGCTCTCGTCACCTTCGGCGCCGTCCCTCTCGGTCCTCCTCCTCGTCGCGTGTCTCCTGCCGGCGGGGATCGGCGCTTCCTCTCGCGTAGAACTCGTCAACAACGGCTACGAGAACCTGGTGATCGGCATCTCTCCGAGTCTGCCCGAGAGTGAGGGAGCCGCTCTCATACCCGCCATCAAGGTGAGAGGGAGGGAGAGGGACAGGGTGAGAGGGAGGGAGAGGGACGGGGTGAGAGGGAGGGAGAGGGACGGGGTGAGAGGGAGGGAGAGGGACGGGGTGAGAGGGAGGGAGAGGGACGGGGTGAGAGGGAGGGAGAGGGACGGGGTGAGAGGGAGGGAGAGGGACGGGGTGAGAAGGAGGGAGAGGGATGGGGTGAGAAGGAGGGAGAGGGATGGGGTGAGAGAGAGGGAGAGGGACGGGGTGAGAGGGAGGGAGAGGGATGGGGTGAGAGGGAGGGAGAGGGCAGAGAGGGATGGGGTGAGAGGGAGGGAGAGGGATGGGGGGAGAGAAAGGGAGAGGGACGGGGGGAGAGGGAGGGAGAGGGACGGGGTGAGAGGGAGGGAAAGGGATGGGGTGAGAGGGAGTAGGGGGGAGGCTGGGAGGTATGGAGGTGGGGGGGAGAAAGAGAAAGTGTGGGGAAAAGAAGGAGAGAGAGAGAGAGAGGAATGAAACGAGGGAGGGCGAGAATGAAATAGAGAGAGGGAGGAGGGGTAGGAGTGGGGGAGATAGTGAGGGAGGGAGACAATGAGAGAGAGACGGAGAGGGAGAAGTTGAAGAGAAAAAGAGAATGAGAAAATGAGAGAGAGAGAGACAGACAGATAGAAACATAGACAAACAAACAGACAGAGGCAAAGGCAGACAGACAGACAGAGACAGAAACAGTCAGACAGACAGATAGAATAAGGAAGAGAGAGGCATTGAAGAAATGAAAGGAGAGGACAAGGCTGAGATAGTAATAGGAAAGGAAGTAGGGAAGATAGTTTACGATATTACATGGGATATTTTAAAATTCTTGATTATTTTACAAAATTTAAAAGTAAAAAGACAATCAAAGAATTTTTCACAGGTGGTATTTGGTAAGCAAAAAAACTTAAATTGGTAAAATATTTTTTTTCTTGTTAGCTTTATAATTACATCTTTTAAAGATAATTAGTGAGTGCAATTATGAAATACTTAATTTCAACAATAACAACCACAACTGTGGTAGTGTTAATAGTAATAATAACAATAATTCTAATAACGATGATGATGATAATAATAACAGCAATAATAATGATATTATAGTTAGAACAATAATATTAAGGATAATAATAGTAATACTATTATAATGAAAACAATGATGATGATAATGGTAATGATGATAATAACTGTAATGATATTGATAATAATAATAGTAATAATAACAATGATAACAATGATAATAATAATGATAATAATGATAATAATAATAATAATAATAATAATAATGAGAGGAGGATGAGGATAATAAGCATAATTATAATGAAAATAATAAGGATAACGATTATGATAATGATAATAATAATGGTAATGCCAATTATAGCAATAATAATGACAATAATAATAATAATTATTATGATAATAATAATAATGATAATACTAATACTAATACTAATAATATAACAACAACAACAATAATTCTCCGATATCCCCCCCCCCACCTCACCACCCTGAGCCCGCCGGATTCGCTTCCCTCCGCCTTCAGACCCCCCAACCCCCCCTTCCACCTTCAAGGACGACCTCTGACTTCTCTCCCTCTTGCAGGAAATGATCAAGAACGCCTCTGAGGTTCTCTTTACCGCCACCCGCCGCAGGGCCTTCTTCAGGGACGTGCGCATCGTGATTCCGAAGTCGTGGTCGAACACGGATACGGACGAGGTCGCTGTTTTCGAGTCTTTTCAGGTTAGTGGAAGATTCTATCTATCTTATTTTGTTCTATTCTATTTACTTTATTTTTTATTTGTTTATTTTCTCTTCCTTGTGGGGTGTTGTTTTCGTTTGTTTTTGTGTTTGTTTGTTTGGACGCTTTTTGTTTTCTCTTCGGTTTTTGGTTTTATGTTGTTTGTTTGTTTTTCTTTACTTTGTTTTTCTGTTGTTGTTCTGTATTGTTTTACTCATCTGTTTATTCATTTATTTTATTTTATTTTATTTTTTATTCGTTCGTTCTTTTCCGTTTTCCTTCTTTGTATTGGTTTTCTGTCTTTTGTTTGCTCTTGTTTCTGTTTTGGCTTCCTTTTTCTATTCATTTTTTCTCTTATTTGCTTCTGTCTTTCAGTTCTAGTTTTCTTTCTGTTTAATATAAATATATATATATATATATATATATTTTTTTTTTGTTATTGTTGTGTGTTTTCTTGTTCCTTTTCTTTTAATTTCTATTTAATATTTTTTTTTATTTTGATTTTTTTTGTCTTAATTTTTAGATTTGTTTTGAGGTTTCAGGAAGCTTTTTCGTGATGAAAACAGGCCGCTTCTTTTCTTTCTACTCTTATTTTATTATTATTATTATCTTTTGATATGCTGTTAGTGGTCTGGGTATACGGTTTGGTATACTGTTAGTGTTTTTATTTTGGTACGCCGTTAGTATTTGTAACATAATGCTAATAGCTTTGGTATACTGTTAGTATTTTATTATGCTGTTTGTGGTCCAAGTATACTGTTCGTGGTTTATATTATTAGTATGTTTTAGTATGCTGTTGTGTTTTAGTATGCTGTTGGTGATATTGCTATGCTGTTAGTATCTTTGTATCTTTAGTATGACAGTAGCACTTCGGTTTGATGTCGGCGTTTTTAGTATGCCAATAGCATTTCGATATGATGCCAGCGTTTTTAGTATGCCAGTAATATTTCGGTATGATGTCGGTGTTTTTAGTATGTTAATAGCATTTCAATATGATGTCGGTGTTTATAGTAAACCAGTAATATTTCGGTATGATGTCGGCGTTTTTAGTATGCCAGTAATATTTCGGTATGATGTCGGCGTTTTTAGTATGCCAATAGCATTTCGGTATGATGTCGGCGTTTTTAGTATGCCAGTAATATTTCGGTATGATGTCGGTGTTTTTAGTATGCTCGTAGCACTTCGGTACGGTGTCGGCTGTTTTAGTATGCCAGTAGCATATCGGCATGATGTCGGCGTTTTTAGTATGCCCTTAGTGAATTTGATATAATGTTAGTTATTCAGTCATATTTTCGGTGTTTTTGTTATGTGTTGATAATGAATTGAGTACATTTGTGTTTTTTAATCATATTATTGGGGTGTTTTATATGTTGTTAGTATTAACGGTATGCTATTAGTGTTTTGTTTGTTTGCATGTTATTTATTGGTGATTCATTACCATAATCTACTTCATCATCATCTTCGCTTTGCTCATGAGCCGCTATCATCCCACAGGAGAGCGACCTCCGTATTGACAACTCGAGCTCCGTTTACGGGGAACAACCATACACGAGGCAACCAGGAGAGTGTGGAGATCCGGGCGATTTCATTCATATGACACCGGCTTACCTGAAGGAGGAAGTTTTTTCTTATTTTTACGGACCGCCAGGTGAGAGAGAGAGAGAGGGGAGGTGGAGAGAATGGAGGATAGGGAGAGAGGGGGAGGATGAATGAGAGAGAGGGGGGGAGGGAGAGAGAGAAGGGGAGGGAGAGAGAGAGGGGAGGGGGATGAGAGAAAGAGAGAGAGAGAGAAAGACTCGATGTTGGGAATAAAAAAAAAAAAAAAAAAAAAAAACAGGGATGTTTACAAATACATACGTTGATTCCATCCTTATTCGGACTGATTCAGACAATGGTACAAAAAAGAAAAAACAAAAAACAAAAATCGGGTGAAGTCAATTTTGCTTGTGAGTGGCTGCATATTCTTGAAGGAGAAGGAAACATTAACAAGAGAAGCTAAGTGATAGAGACGTAACCTGTTTCCAGATAATGCTTAATTACATTACTAATCTGTGTACTCTGTTGACGTATACAGAATTAGATAGATATGGGTTTATTTTTTTGTGTACGTGCGTGTATGTGTGTGTGTGTGTGTTTGTGTGTGTGTGAGTATGCGTTGACTCCCTTCTCAGCTTATAACGTTGTCTCAGTTCCTAGTCTTGGTCCTGGTCCTACCTCTTCAGAATGAGTGACCTGGTACTTCCCCTTCAGGAGGACCTAGCTCTTGCCCTTCAGACTGACTTCATCTTAGCCCTTCTTGCTGATCTGGTCCTGCTCCTTCAGACTGAGCTCCTTCCTCCCTCCCAGACGTAAGGTTTGAAAAGAACAGAACAACTTGACAAGCGAGAATACAGGCCACTGTTGTTTGTCACTGAAATCCCCCCCCCCCCAGCCAAGGTGCTCGTGATGGAGTGGGCCAGACTGCGTTGGGGAGTTTACGACGAAATCGGGTACAGCGGCGACCCCAAGTACCCGATCTTCTTCTCGCTGCCGAGAGAGGACGCCAGCGGCCGCACCGACGTTGAATATCGAGTGAACGTTTGCACGGACACCATCCTCAAGGGGAAGGAAAGGTAGGGAGCGGCGGGGTGGTCGCTGGGTGCGGGGGGCGTGGCCTGCGGGCTGTGGCTGTGTGCGGAGTTTGGATTCATATAGACACACACATACACATATATTAACACCGGGCTCCCCTCATGGGCATAGCCCGGGCGAGGCTCTGCTTCGCAAATCAGACACATATATAAGTATATATATACATATATGATTATATACATAAATACGTATACGCATACACAATATATATATATATATATATATATATATATATATATATATATATATATATATGTACATACATATGTGTATATACATACAAACATATATTTATATATATAAATATTTATCTATACATATATATACATATATACATATATATATATATATATATATATATATATATATATATATATATATATTTATATACATAAATATGTGTATATACAAACACACATATATAAAGAGAGAGAGAGACACAGTGAGAGAGAAGAATCATGAACACAGATGGTTATATCTACACACGTGCATATACACACGAAGACAGAGTGCTTTAAATAATCTCATAAATGTCCAGGCATAGATATAGTTATGGATATGCAGAAGAAAAAATATACATAGATCGATTTGTTTATTGGTAAGTAGATAGGCGATTTGATTTTAAATAGCTTTATAGGAATACATATAGATTTTATAGATTATAAGACACAGAAGGGCATAGATTTCACAGATACACGTTAAACATCCCATTCCCCCCTCAAAAAAATAATAATATAAGATATATAAATAAAAAAATAGACATATTCCAACCTCACCTCCCCTCCCCCCCCTCGCCAAGAAAAAAAATGACCCAGCCTTCTCCTCTTTCGTAGGATGTTCAACGAATCCAAGCTTTGCACGTTCACCCACGAGGGACTTCCGGACGATAACTGTGTCTTCTTCCCCGACGCCAACCAGACCGCCAAGTCCTCGCTCATGTCGTTCCCGATGGTCTTCAGCGATACGGTGAGTCTGATGTATGTGTGTGTGCTTGTGTATGTGTGTGTGTGCTTGTGTGTGTGTGTGTGTGTGTGTGTTTGTGTATGTGTATATATGTGTGTGTGTTTGTGTATGTGTGTGTTTGTGTGTGTTTGTGTATGTGTGCTTGTGTGTGTGCTTGTGTATGTGTGTGCGCGTGTGTGTAAGTGTATGTAGGAGATAATCAAATTAGAATATAATGAATAATAAAAACTCAAAAAAATAAATAAAATAAAAAATCACCGAAAGTGAAAAAAACTCCCATCTTGCCAATGAGTTGCCAGCTAGTTGATTTTTGCGACGACCACACGCACAGCAGCCTCGCCAAGACCAGACACAACGACAGGTGCAACGGGCAATCGGTCTGGCAAGTGATGTTGCAACACTCCGACTTCAAGGGAAATGCGTGAGTTTTTATACAGGGATTTTGATTTTTTTTTTTTTCTAATTTTTCGATTTTTTTTTTTCTCTTTTTTTTATTGGAGGGGGGTTAGGGGGAGGGGTTTGTTTGTTTTCGGATTTTTTATTTTTGTTGTTTATTGGAAATATATATCTAAATAAAATTTAACCTTTAATCTCTCAGTCTATTTGATACGGAAAATTATTACATAGTAAACTCTCGTCTTGTGTGAAACCCCGTGGTCTCTGACTCAGTAGAATCAGTCACCAAAATATTGCCCAGTAAATTCATTCCTATGTTAAACTACAATAAAAAGTACACATCAAAATAATCACAACCTTTATCTATCCACAAACAATAAATCAAGAAATGAAGAACAGAAACTCCCTTTTTTCGGGTCACAAACTGTAACCTCCCGCTCTCTCTCCCTTTCTCTCTTTCGAAGTAACCCGGCGATCTCTAACCCGGAGGAACCCAAGATCAAAGTGGTCAGAGAAACAATTGCGGATTATGTCCTGGTACTTGATTATTCAGGCAGTATGTCGATCGCTGGCCGAATGGTTAGACTCCAGTTAGCGGCCCAGCGGTGGTTGCTTCATGAAGTTCAGTTACACAGCTCCGTCGCCATTGTGAGGTTTGAGTAAGTAAAGCCATTTTTTTTTTGAACAGTACGAGAGGATGTGATGTGTTTTTCGTGCCTCTTTTTCTCGTTCTCCCTTTTTCTTTCTTTCTTTGTGCATATATATGTGTATATATATATATACATGTATATATATGCATATATATATGTATATGTTTGTATATATATATGTATATATATATGTGTGTGTGTGTGTATGTGTGTGTGTGTAGATATACATTTCGATATATATATATATATAGGTAGATGTAGATAGATAGGTATTTAGACACAGACACATATATATGTATGTATATATTTTTTTTAACAGCCATTCATTCCACTGCAGGACATAAGCCTCTCTTAATTCACTACTAAGAGGTTAATTGGCAGTACCACCCTTGCCTGATTGGATGCCCTTCTTAATCAACCGCGGTTCGGCGGAAATTTTACACACACACACACATACACACACATATATATACATACATATATATATATGTGTGTGTGTGTGTATAAATTTTACTTCTTTTTTTAGAAAAGTTATTTATGTGTTGTTCATATAAATATATCAAGTGTCTCTCCTTACTTTCTCAGTAGCAAATCTAAGAAGATTACAAAATAAAAGCAATTCTATAATGATAACAGTTATGATAAAATGGATGGATGTAGTAAATAAGACGAATCTACTTTTTTATCATTTTTTTTTATCTCGATTCTTTACTCCCCGCTCCCCTTCTCTCCTCTTATCGGATTTTTTTTTTATATATATCCCTGCTAACTCGATTCCTCCCCCCCCCCCCCCTTGCAGTAGCACCGCCTCCCTCCTCGCCCCGCTGACGAAAATCGACGGAGACGCAGTGAGGAAATCCCTGGCCAGTCAAATCCACGCAACTAACAATGGCGGAACGAGCATCGGCGCCGGACTGAAGATGGCAGTTGAGGTGAGCGAAGAGGGGAGAGGGAGGGAGGGAGGGAGGGAAGGAGGCTGGGAAGGGAGGGTGGTGGGGGAGGGAGGGAGGGAGGGAAGGAGGCTGGGAAGGGAGGGTGGTGGGGGAGGGAGGGAGAGTAGGGGAGGGAAAGTGGGAGAGTGGGAAGGAGGGTGAGAAAGAGAGAGTGGGAGTGGGAGGGCGGGAAGGAGGGAGGAAGAGTGGGAGGAAGGGATGGGGGGAAAGGAGGGAGAAGGGGTGAGAGAATGGCTTATTTGTTCATTGAAATTATTGTTATTATCATTGTTGTTGTCATCATCATTAGTATTTTTATTATTATCATTATTATTATTATCCTTATTATTGTTATCATTATCATTACTATTGTTATTATTATATTATTATTAACATTATTATTATTATTATCGTTATTATTATTATCATTATCATTATTAGCATTGGCATTGTTATTATTATTATAATCATTTTTATTAGCATTATTTTTATCACTACCTTTAGTTTATTATTACTTTAATAAGAATAATAAAAAATATTATTATTATTATTGTTGTTGTTGTCGTTATTGCTATTGATGATGTCATTATTATTGTTATTAACATTATTATTGTTGTCATTATTAACGTTATTGTTGTTATTATTATTAACATTATTATTATTGCATCATTATTATTAGCATTAACATTTTCAGCATTAGTATTAGTATTAGTTTTTGTACTATCATTATCATCCCTCCCTCCTCCTCTCCGTCCTTCCCACCCTCTCTCTCTCTTTTTTTCTCCTCATTTCTTTCTTCCTTCCATTCCTTCCCTCCCTCCTTTCATTCCTTCCCATCTTCTCACCCCCATTTCCTCTCTCCTTCCCACCCTCTCTTCCACCTTTCCTTCTCACCCTCTTTTCCTCTTTCCCTCTCTCCCTCCTTTCCTTCCTCCCGCACTCCCATCCATCCCTCCCTTCCTCCCATCCCTCCTTCCCTCCTCTCTTCCTTCCTCCTTCCCCTCCCTCCTCCCATTCCTCCTTCCTTCCTCCCTCCCATCCATCCTTCCTCCCATACCTCCTTCCCTCCTTTCTTCCTCCCTCCCATCCCTCCTTCCCTCCTTTCTTCCTTCCTCCCATCCCTCATTCCCTCCTTTCTTCCTTCCTCCCTCCCATCTCTCCTCCCCTCCCTCCTTCCTTCTTCCTTTCCTCCCTCCCATCCCTCCTTTCTTCCTTCCTCCCTCCCATCCCGCCTTCCATCCCTATATCTTCCTCTCTTTCTCAATCCAAATAATCTCTCTTTCTCTCTCTCTCTCCTTGGTCTAGCTGTTGGAAGGTCGAGCGAACAAGAACGTGTTTCTCATCACAGACGGAGAGGAAAACAAAGCCCCGATGATAGCTGATGTGAAAAACGACATTATAAGCAAGAAACTATGTGTTACCACCCTAGCTATGGGGTAAGGTTTTCTGTGTTCCTTTTTTATTTTTCGTTTATTCATGAGTTTTTTTTCTTTTTCTATCATCATCATCATGATCTTTTTCTTTTCTTATCCTCCTTGTTTTTTTTTTTTTTTTTTTTTTTTTTTTTTTTTGTACGTGGCTGGTGAAACCTGAGTTAGATTTTCTTTTTCTCTCTCTCTCTCTTCATCTTTTCACTTAATTTCTCTCTTTTTTTTTTTGCTTTGTTTTTGTTCTCTCCCATTCTTTATCTCTTTCTTAATACACGTCTGAGTGAATGGGTGACCTGAATAAATGGGTGAATAGGTGACTGAAAAGATGGACGATGAGGTGACCAGATCAATGGGTGAAGGGATTAATGGGATATTGGGTCAGTGAAGTGAAGAGGGTGACTAGATCACTAACCTCCACCCCCCTCCCCCCGCTGCAGGAGCAACGCCGCCAAGGACCTGGAGAAACTGGGGGACCTCAACAAGTGCCCTTCCTTCACCGACAACGACAACGACACGTCCAACGCCCTCGAGAATGCTTTCGAGGGCGTCTCCACCCGCCAGCAGTCAGTCAGTCTGGATGAATTCTTCATCAAGGTGAGTCGACTGGGCGAAGGGGTTAATGGGTGAAGGAGGGACTGGGTGAAGAGGTGAAAGGACAGAAGAGTGAATGAGGGTGAATGGGTAAGGGGGATCAAAGCGTGTCTGGGTGAATGGGTATCTGTATGTATAAGTGAAGGTGAGTCTGGCTGGAGGAGTGACTGGCTGAATGGGTAAATGGCTGACTGGATGGAAGAGTGACTTGATGACTGGGTGCCGTATCTGGTCCTTCCTCCTCCTCCTGCGCCGCCTCCTTCCTCACCGTCGTCCGCTCTGCCTCCTCCGCCAGATCGAGGAGACGCCGACGATCCAGACAGCGGCTCCGGCCTACGAAGGCTTGTTCCTCGTCGACAGCACCGTCGGCAAGAACCTAACTTTCCGCTTGAAGGCAGACGTAAAGAGCCACGTGTTAAGCGGACCCACCCTGGTCAGACCCAACGGCACGAGTCTGCAGGGCGCCGCGGATTATGACGCCATCGGGAACGTCTGGACGATCGTCGTGCCTGAGGCGGAGGTAAGGGGCTGCTCCAGGGGCTTCAGGGATCGCATTTCAGGGGCATGGATGAAGGGGGAATGCAAGGAAAGAGGGAAGTATAGTTGACGTTTCGGTAGCATACCTTTCATCTTCAGCATTCATCCGCAGCGCTGGAGGGTTGCCACCGAAAGGCCTAAGATATAATTTGCTCTGTGGATATTTTTAAAGTTTATTCTTCACGTTCATATCAGCTTTAATAAGGAGGGATACTTTAATCGCATCATATCTGAATTTGTAACGGACGAAAGATATTTATGATTTTTTTATTTATTTATTTATCTATTTATTTATTCATTAAGGGGTGAATTCATTCGTTTTAAGTTTTATAGCTTGGGAGGTCTGTTCTCTTATACAGTATTTTTTTCTTTTTTTCTCTGATAAAGATGTCCGATTCTCCCGCTGTTTCTCGTCATTCAAATTTTATTTCTCTCTTCCCATTTCTACCCCGCTGTTTTTTGTTTGTTTGTTTTTACTTCCTCTTATTTTTAGCTTTACCTGTGTTCCCTTTTCCATCCAACATTTTTTCACCCTGGTAATTCCAATTCTCCTTCAGGAAGGGTATTGGCAGTGGAAAGTCACACTCAGTCAAGATTCGTCCAGATACATACAAGCAACAGTTCATGCTCTGTCGCGGGATCCGGACGACGCGCCGATCGTCAGCACAGTCAAGGTAAGAGAACCCCTTTGTTTAGGGCGGGGGATGGGTACTCCTCAAAGCTCCCTTATATGTGTATGTTTATATATATACATATATATGTGTGTGTGAGTGTGTGTGTGTGTGTGTGTGTATGCTCACACATACACACGTGCACACACACATATATACATACACATGTGTACATATACATATATATATATATATATATATATATATATATATATATATATACATATATATGTATATATATATATATATATATATATATACGTGTATATATGTATATATATACATATATATACATGTAAATAAATATATATGTGTGTGTGTGTGTGCGTGTGTGTGTGTGTATGTGTTTATATATATACTGTGTATGTATATGTGTGTGTGTGTGTGCGTGCGTGTGTGTGTATGTGTTTATATATATACTGTGTATATATATATGTGTGTGTGTGTGTATGTGTTTATATATATACTGTATATATATATTTGTGCGTGTGTGTGTGTATGTGTATTTATATGTATATATAGATATCTATATATAAATATATATCCATATACATACATACATACATGAATATGTAGGGCCTAAATAAGCATGTATATATATATATACTTTTTTTATTCATCGATATATTCATTCTATCAATTCATTCATTTATTTACTACTCTTCTCCCCTCCACCTTATTCCTCTCCCCCCCCCTCCCCCCTCCAGTTCCTTGCCCCCGCGACCGGCGTTAGTCCCAAGGACCAGAACATCAAAATAATAGCCACAGTGATGAAGGGAAACAACCCAATCCGGGGAGCTCATGTGGTGTAAGTTGTGGTGGTGAGGGTGTGATGTGATGTGGTGTGATGGTGGTGGTGAGGGTGTGATGTGATGTGGTGTGATGGTGGTGGTGAGGGTGTGATGTGATGTGGTGTGATGGTGGTGGTGAGGGTGTGATGTGATGTGGTGTGATGGTGGTGGTGAGGGTGTGATGTGATGTGTGATGGTGGTGGTGAGGGTGTGATGTGATGTAGTGTGATGGTGGTGGTGAGGGTGTGATGTGATGTGGTGTGATGGTGGTGGTGAGGGTGTGATGTGATGTGGTGTGATGGTGGTGAGGGTGTGATGTGGTGGATGGTGGTGGTGAGGGTGTGATGTGGTGTGATGGTGCTGGTGTGATGTGATGTGGTGGTGAGGGTGTGATGCGGTGTGGTGTGATGTAATGTGGTGTGATGGTGCTGGTGAGGGTGTGATGTGGTGTGATGGTGCTGGTGTGATGTGATGTGATGTAGTGGTGAGGGTGTGATGTGTTGTGTGATGGTGCTGGTGTGATGTAATGTGGTGTGATGGTGGTGGTGAGGGTGTGATGTGATGTGGTGAGGGTGTGATGTGGTGTGATGGTGCTGGTGTGATGTGATGTGGTGAGGGTGTGATGTGATGTAGTGTGATGCGGTGTGGTGTGATGTGATGGTGAGGGTGTGATGCGGTGTGGTGTGATGGTGAGGGTGTGATGCGGTATGGTGTGATGGTGAGGGTGTGATGCAGTGTGGTGTGATGGTGAGGGTGTGATGCGGTGTGGTGTGGTGTGATGGTGAGGGTGTGATGCAGTGTGGTGTGATGGTGAGGGTGTGATGCGGTGTGGTGTGATGTGAAGGTGAGGGTGTGATGCGGTGTGGTGTGGTGTGATGGTGAGGGTGTGATGCAGTGTGGTGTGATGGTGAGGGTGTGATGCGGTGTGGTGTGATCTGATGGTGAGGGTGTGATGCGGTGTGGTGTGATGTGATGGTGAGGGTGTGATGCGGTGTGGTGTGATGGTGAGGGTGTGATGTGTTGTGTTGTGGTGATGGTGATAATAAGGGTGCGATGTGGTAATGTGATGGTGTGATGTGGTGAGGGATTCAATGTGGTGCTGGCGATGGTGTGATGTGTTGTGGTGATGGTGGTGGTGATGGTGATAAGGCTGTAGTGTGATAGTGTTGGTGAGGGTGTGATGTGTGTGTGAGGGTGTGATAATGGTGATGACAGTGAGAACAAGAATCAAGGTGATAGTGACTGTGTCATGATCCTTTACCCTCTTCTTTTTAATGATGATAATGGTAAGGATAATGATTATATTACTGATAATGATAATAATAAAAATAGTGATGACGACAATAATGATAATAATATCTGATAATAATGATAATGATAATAGTTAATGATAGTGATAATAGAAATAATTATGATAATAATGATGGCATGGATAATAGTAATGATAATAATGATTAGTGACAACTAGGGATAGTGATAACAACGATAGTGATAGTGATACTGATAATAATAAAAGATAATAAAGATAATAACGATGATAATAAAAATAATGATAATGATAACAATAATAATGATAATAATAATAATGATAGTAATAATAATAATAACAATAACAATAATAGTAATAACTATGATAGTAATTATAATAATAATTGTAATAATAAGGATCATAATCATCATGATGATAGTAGTGATAATAACAGATAAAAATGACTACAACAACAGCAACAATAATAATAACAACAACAACAATAATGATAATGGTAATGATAATAATAATAATAATAATGACAAAAATAATAAAATTATAACAACGACATCAACAACAACAGTTATTAAAACAAATAAAAAAACATTTTTAGACAATTTCCCACGCAATGGCCCCCCTTCTCTCCTCTGCAGCGCCTACGTCACGCCCCCAGACCCGACGGCGAGCGCGCAGGAATATGACCTCCTAGACAACGGCGTAGGAGCTGACGCGGTTGCGGGCGATGGCATCTACTCCCGCTACATGACGACTTTCGCCGGCGAGGGCCGCTACAGCATCAAGGCCCTGGTACGGTGCTGCAGTTTCTTGCAGTTCATGCAAGGTGCACGTATGCGTAAGGGATTCGTGTTGTATCTCCCGAGGCTGCAGGACGAGTGCGGTTCTGTGTTATGTTGTATTTGGTGTTTTAGTACAGGTGCCGCGTAGGTGTGGGTTTGCACACGTAACCTTCTCCATTGCCTCTACAATTTCTTTTCGAAAAGAAAACTCCTTTTTGGTCCAAAAATTGCATATGTTCGACCAGGCGTAGTGATTGATAGTATAAGCCAGTTATGATCTTAGCATCTTTATTATGTACATCTTTTGTATGTCTTTATTTATCTCTTTATATATCCATCTAGTGATTTACAGCACATATATATTTACACACACACACACACACACACACACACATATATATATATATTTGTGTGTGTGTATATGTATATATATATGTGTATATATATATGTATATATATATATATATATATATATATATATATATATATATATATATATATATATGTGTGTGTGTGTGTGTGTGCGTGCGTATATATATATATATATATATATATATATATATATATATATATATATATATATATAGTATATGCATATATATATATATATATATATATATATATATATATATATATATATATATATATATATAATATACATTCATAAATATGAATACAGACATAAAAACAAAAGGGGGAATTATATATATATATATATTTATATATATTATATATATAATTTTCTTCTTTTCTTCCTCTCCCTCCCTCCCTCTTTCTCTCCCACCCATCCCTTCCTCTCTCTCTCTCTCTCTCATTTTCTTCCTCTCCGTCCCTCCTTTCTCCCTCCCTCTCTTCCACCCTCCCTCCCTACCTTCATCTCCCCCCCCCTCTCTCTCTCCAATATACATATGCTAATGTTCATGCCCTGTCACCAAAGGTGAAGGGAGGGTCCGGCGCCAGTGTGAACAACGGGCCTCCACCGCCGCCCACATTCTCCTCTGCTGGGCGTCGGCGTCGTCGCTCCCCTGATTTAAGCA